GACGTTGGGCGATTAACCACAATTCTGAATTCATTGTGATAATAAATTTTAAGTCCACGGTTGCTTTTAAGCCACAACCTTTCGCAGGCTAAGCATGAGTTTGTAAAAGTGTGCTTCGCTGTGACCCACAGTCCTTTTACTTAAACAGGTTTTACAGGGAGATGACTCAGCCTAGTTTCTGCACAATGAGGCCAAAAGAAAGCCTTGAAAAGCGTAGCAGAAGCAGGCTGCCCTTATTCACCAAGCTAATGAATCACCATCCAAGGCTAAAGCTGCAAAACAAACCCTACATGTGTGCTTGGCTGTCAATGCTCCTGTCTTTTAGCTGAAGAGGGGAAGGTGTTAGACTGAATGAAAAAAGTGGCATTCAGCAGACTGTAACAAAAGGAGAAAGAAACTGCTTCCGGGAGCGTGATGTTGAGACACGGGTCAGGACTCAACTCAAAAACCTCACCACAGGCAAATGAAAACGAAAACACTGCTGACTCTTGATTACATCCCACTGTCTCGCCCGTTCCATCTGAAGTAGTCCACTTTGTTTTTGAGGTAGGAGACATGTCTTTTTTTTTGGTGTTAGCCTAACATGGACGCAAGGCCGATGAGGCCTGGCTGAGGGGCCACCTGACATGTCTGCTCAACAAAACCAGCTGGTGCTGATAATGTGAATGACTAACATTTTCCAAATTCCAACAGTGTCTGATGGTCGGATGCATGAGTATATGGGACGTACGTATGGCTTAAGAAATTCAACAAAGCTGAAACTGGCTTCTTCTTTGAACTACCCGTTCCACCTTAAACACTGCAGCTGTTACGTTCAATCACCTACAGATGAGAGAACGTAACTGCTGCTCCACTTAAGACGGAATGGAAAATTTGAACAAAAAGCAGTGAAATAAAAATCCAACTTGAGCTTCGTAGAAATTCAGACCCAACATTTAGCACTGTTTCTGCCAAAGAGCAATACTGACACAGTGACACCACAAGCAAGTCAAAATACTGATACATACTGTGGATCGTGAAAATGTGAAATGGGAAAAACAGTATATCAGTACTGTGATGTACTATTTTTTCCCACCCACACTGCCCACCCTCTATTTTACACAATGTAAATATTTCAGATTTTCTTCAGTTAATCTATGAAAATAGTTTACTTAAGCATCTAAAATTGATTCATTTATAAAATGATACGTATATACAGTACACTATGATACACACAGAAAATGTCAGAAATTTTAATTAAGCTATACCGTGAGCGAAATTTTTGGCCATATCGCCCACAACTAAACGGCAGCGGTGAGCAACATTTTGCTCGACAGCTAGAAGCAAGATAGCTAAATCAGCCGATGTGACCACTTTAGGTCTGTACTACAACAGTTGCACACAGTGAACAAAAAGGCCTAATTAGACCCAAATACAATTCACATATAACAACAAACAAATAGATAGACAGACAAATAAATGTGTTGACTAACAGAACCTTAGCTGACCAAGAACACTACAACAGAATACACAACTAGTCCATTTAGATTGAGCAGCCCTATTACTCTGCTCTAAACACCGGAGTCGAGTCATCAAGGGCTTGAAGACTAGCTGTTCAAGCTCTACATCGCTAAAACACGACAACCGCTGAACTGTACAGCCCCTCCTACTGGGATTACCCATCCCTGGAGCAGAACCAAAAGTCCTTGTTAAGCCTAAACTGACTGTAAGCTTGTTAGCAGAAATCTTGATTTAACAAGGGGCAACACAGCAAGCGGATTGTGTTAAGGAGAACAGTTTGAGTAAGGCACCCATTTAGTAACATGATCCTCGGACATCCTAACTTCTGCCCACAGATACCCCATTAAAGGGGGATTGTGTAGCGACCACATAGTGCAGCCAGTGTATTCGCCAGTGTCATGATATTGAAGAATTTAAAAGGAAGCTATCAATTTCCTCAAAACAGTGTGACCGTTTTAAACTAAATTACAACAGCATGAGCCACAAAGTCACTGTCAAGGTGGTTCCGCTAACAAAACGTAAACGTCCGAGTAATAGTATTAGTAATAGTTTTTAAGTGCTGGGCTACCTTGCCCTGATTCAAGCTACTGTTTGATGTGTAGATCAATAAAAAGCTCCAACATTAGACCCAACAGAGAACCTCATGATTTCATGTTAAGTTCTGCAGCGTAACAGATACCAAGAATCTTCAATATTGAAAAGAATTACTCTATAATACCTTCTCGATTCACCGCTCACAACATATTTGGCGTTCCCTCAAAGTGGAGTGGTTTTATAAGACGGTAGCGAGACAGGCCCTTTGAAACCTCAGGCATGAGTCATGTCTAAAAATTCTGCTCACACTTGCACCAGCTAGACGGACAAGCAGCTCACTTCGGATTCCTGACACCCTGCTGGTGGCACAGACCCTCCCTCGCAGTCTCCTGACCTCAAAGCTGAAGCAGCAGTCCGGTCAGTCCGAGCAGCACTCGCACACCTGTCTCGGCTCATGTGATCATTCACAAGGCACTGTCAGTCTGATGTACATACATACATACATAAGACGCTGTTTATCTGTTCGTATACAAATCACTGTCCATTTGTTATTCATACACAAGTCATTGTCCATTAGTGGTGGACGATACGACGATATTTTCATGTTATAATCACAATACGTCATCATATGGTTTTCTGATATCATCAGTGCTTATAGAACACGGCATATATCATTACAAGGAGGGTAAATAGCTTGTTATTTAGTAGAGTCAAGTATAAAAATGTTCAATAAAATCAAAGTATTCAATTTTAGAAAGCATTTTTAAATGTGACTATTTGAGATTTTTGTCTATTGTGATGCTACATTTCTGCAATATCAACTCTTACTGTCCATCTGACGTTCGTACTCAAGACAATGTTCATCTCGTGTATCGGCTACACTCTTAAAAAAGATAGTTCTTCAAGGGTTCTTTTATTAAAGGGAATGGTTCTATTTAGAACCATGAGTTCTAAATAGGTAAATCTGTTTACATAACAAAGCATATAAAGTTCACTATATAAAGAGGGAGAGCATATGTTAAAAGGTCTTATGTCCACTGTTTATTAAGAGATCATTTTAATAAACTTTATCCTAATTTGTCTCATTTTAGACTGGGTTATGGTTTATATTTGGCTTTCAGACTTTTTGGCAGCATTCATTTATTGGGCTGTTATGTTGTCTATGCAAAGGAGAAGAATGAAGGTACCACAGTGGCACCTAAGCAGCTCTACTTATTGGGAACCATGAGTTCTATATGGAACAATTTCATGGTTCTCTGATGGAGAATACGTTGCACATCGTTCTACAATAGTACCAAAAAGTGTTCCTCTATTGTTCAAGCTTGAGATCATAACAATAGCAGAACCTTTTTTGGTGCTATGCAGAGCCATTTTCAAAAAAGGCCCTATATAGAACCATATACAACACATTCTCCACCAATCTGAAGAACCATCTCACCACGCAAAGAACCATTTAAGCATGAAATGGTTCTATATTAAACTCATATATATTGATTGTTCTAAATAAAACCCTTGAAGAACAATCTTTTTAGGAGCGTACAGGAAAATCTGTTTACATAAAGTAAAGTTTACTATATAAGAAGAGAGACAGCATATGTTAAAAGGTCTTATGTCCACTGTTCATTAAGAGATCATTTTAATAAACTTTATCATAATTTGTCTCGTTTTAGACTGGGTTATGGTTTATATTTGGCTTTCAGACTTTTTGGCAGCATTCATTTATTGGGCTGTTATGTTGTCTATGCAAAGGAGAAGAATGAAGTTACCACAGTGGCACCTAAGCAGCTCTACTTATTGGGAACCATGAGTTCTATATAGAACAACCTCAGGCTTAAATGGTTCTCTGATGGAGAATATGTTGCACATCGTTCTATAATAGGACCAAAAAGTGTTCTTCTATTGATCAAGCTTGAGATCATAACAATAGCAGCACCTTTTTTAGTGCTATACAGAACCATTTAAAAAAAGGTTCTATGTAGAACCATATACAACACATTCTCCACCAATCTGAAGAAGCATCTCACCATGCAAAGAACCAATTAAGCGTGAAATGGTTTTATACTGAACTCATATTTTGAAGGTTCTAAATAGAACCATTGCCTTTACTAAAGAACCCTTGAAGAACAATCTGTTTAGGAGTGCACAGGAAAATCTGTTTACATAACAAAGCATATAAAGTTCACTATATAAAGAGGGAGAGCATACGTTAAAAGGTCTTATGTCCACTGTTTATTAAGAGATCATTTTAATAAACTTTATCCTAATTTGTCTCATTTTAGACTGGGTTATGGTTTATATTTGGCTTTGAGACTTTTTGGCAGCATTTACCATTAATAGGCTGTTATGTTTCCTATACAAAGGAGAAGAGTAAGGGTACCACAGTGGCACCTAAGCAGCTCTACCCATTGAGAACCATGAGTTCTACACAGAACAATTTCATGCTTAAATGGTTCTCTGATGGAGAATATGTTGCACATGGTTCTTTATAACACCAAAAAGTCTTCCTCTATTGTTCAAGCTTGACATCATAACTATAGCAGAACGCTTTTTGGTGCTATGTAGAACCATTTTCAAAAAAAAGTTCTACATAAAACCACATACATCACATTCTCCATGCAAACCATATCACCATGCAAAAGTAATTTAAGCATGAAATGGTTTTATACTGAATTTATATTTGCATTTACTAAAGCTCCCTTGAAAAACAATCTTTTTAAGAGTGCACAGGAAAACCTGTTTACATAATAAAGTATATAAAGAGAGAGAGAGCATATGTTAAAAGGTCTTATGTCCACTGTTTATTAAGAGATCGGTTAAATAAGGTTTGTCATAATTGTTTTAGATTGGGTTATGGTTCACATTTGGCTTTCAGACCTTCTGGCAGCATTTTCCATTTATTGGGCTGTTATGTTGTCTATGCAAAGGAGAAGAATGAAGGTACCACGCTGGCACCTAAGCTGCTCTACCTTCAGCTATCGTCTCCTCCACGGTCACCTGATAGCGGCCGATGGTGAAAACTCGACCGATGAAGGTGCCTCCGCTGCCGGATCCCGCGCCGCCTCCTCCCGCTGCCGAACCGGGCCCAGAACCCGCCATTTCCCTCCGGGAATCGAAAAACTTCTTCATGGTCACTTTCACAACAACGAGCAAACGTCAGGGGTCAAGTTATATAACATGAATTATAGCCTGGTGTGAGTCCCAGTAATGTCTACCGGCTTTAACGTCTCCCGTCAACAACGGTCGAAAGGAAGAGCCAGCTTGACAGCGACTCGTTAGGAGTGCAGTTAAAAAACTCGCTAACAGCTCATTTACAGCTGAAATAAGTTAAATATGCTATCGTTCACACCACCGGTGGAGCATGGTGGTAAAATAAAGTGCAGAAGAAAAAAACACCCGAGTGTGTGTGAGACTGAAAAAATGAAGATAGCTAACCTAGCGTTAACTCAGCTAGCAGCCCCGATAGCACTGCTGCTGCGGACGGCTGTAACTCTTAAATAAGGTCGCAGCGTTTGATAATGACCGGTTCTGGCTATCTAACGTTACCTCTCGGGTGAGTCACGAGCAAAAACATAGCTCTGGCTGTAATTATTGAGCTAGCATGGCTCATTAACGTTAATTTTAACGTTATCTCCCCGGCTAGGCTCGCAGAAAGCAGATAACGCACAGCAGCAGCGCACCGAAGTGTGTCAGTGGTGACTAATAAGACGGAGGAAGCGAGTTCGGAGAACAAACACAGCAGAGCTGCTTCATTAAGGTCGCATACAACTCAGTTACATCAGTTACGAGCCACACAGAAGCTATTCGGGACGAGCGTCTCCTCAAACTGCTCGAATCCCAACTCCACTAACGTCAACAGCTAATAACCGGGGTACGGAGGGAAACATCCGCGACTGTCAGAGCAATGAATTTGTCCTCAGAGGTGTCGAGAAATCCAGTCAACGTCTCACGGTTCGGGAGCTGAGGGTCTCGCTTCTTCCCCTCATTGATTCCTCAACAGCCCAAACACCAGGAAACGCAACGCCGGGAACAGCTGACCAGCAAACCGGGCTTTTCTTTCGTACCCAACTCGCTAAACCGTCGCGTTTTCCGCCGCACAGCAGAGCGAGTGATGAGACCCTGTTAGGAAAACCCAAAAACTGTAACAAACGTGTTCATTAATCCGAGCGCAGAGCGATTTTTGGTGGACTACAACGTCCAAGGGGAGCGGTCGCTTCTGGTAGTTGTAGTCCACGGGAAAGGGCTTGACGTCATGCGTGCTGTCATTTCGCGAAACGGCCGACAGGGGGAGGTGTTTATAAGTAAATAAACAAACAAACGAGAAGAGCTGCATACGTAAACTCATTCACTATTCACTATGTAACATTTGCTGTGCAGTAGATTGAATAGCGAGCGACCGAAATACTTTTGAAGTTCATCTACAGCACATTCTCCAACAATCTGAAGAACCCTTTCATGATGCAAAGAACCCTTCAATCATGCAAAGGGTTCTCTGAGTGTTCATGGTTCTTGCTTTGGTGTTTTTTCCGCAAGAGTGCCTTAAATTTAGTCAATTTGTGCCTCCAAAAAATTAAATCTGTCAATGAAGCTGTTAAATTGGAAGTATGCGTTGCTTTACAATAATATCCGCTTACATTTGTAGAAATTGGCGTGTAGCGCCCTCTGCGGTCTGTCTGCGTGTGACACGTCTCACGGTCCTGGAGAGCCGGTGGCCAGCACAGTTTGGTAACTTGCCATCCCAAACACACCCGATTACAGTTATCTGTAAATTGCCAGGGTTAGTAAGTGTGTTTGAGTATATAGATGTGTGTGTATATATATATATATATATATATGTTCCTGTTTCCAAAAAAGTTGGGGCGCTGTGCAAAATGTGAATAAAAACAGAATACAATAAAAAACGGAATGATGGGCAAATCATTTAAACCCCATATTTCATTGAAAGTAGTACAAAGACAACATATCAAATCTTGAAATTGAGAAATTTAATTGTTTTTTGAAAAATATATGCCCATTTTGAATTTCATGTCAGCAACATGCTCCAAAAAAGTTGGGATAGGGGGCAACAAAAGACTGGTGAAGTTGTGTAATGCTAAAAGAAAAATAGTGGAACATCTTACAACTAATTAGGATAACTGGTGACAGGTCAGCAACAAGATTGGGTATAAAAGAGCATCCAAGAGAGACTTAATCTTTCAGAAGTAAAGATGGGGAGGGGTTCACCACTCTGTGAAAGACTGCACAGAGAAATAGTGCAGCAATTCAAGAATAACGTTTCTCAATGTAAAATAACAAAGAATTCATCATCTACAGTACATAATATCATTAAAAGATTCAGAGAATCCAGAGAAATGTCAGGATGTAATGGATAAGGCTGAAACCAAATATTGTCTGACCATGATCTTTGGGCCCTCAGGTGGCACTGCATTAAAAACAGATATGATTCTGTAGTGGAAATCACTGCATGGGCTCAGGAACACCTCCTAAAACCATTGTCTGTGAACAAAGTTCATCACTGCATCGACAAATGCAAGTTAAAACTCTACCATGCAAAGAAAAAACATATATAAACCAGAAATCCAGAAATGCTGCCACCTTCTCTGGGCCTGAGCTCATTTAAGATGGGTGAAGTAAAAAAGTTTCCTGTGGTCTGATGAATCAGAAACTTTCCTTTTTGGAAATCATGGAAATCATGGACACTGTGTGGGCTAAAGAGGAGGGGGACCATCTGGCTTGTTGTCAGTCACAGTTTAAAGGCCAGTATTCATGATGGTATAGGGGGGCATTAGTGCACATGGCATGGGTGACTTGCACATCTGTGAAGGCACCATTAATGCTGAGTGATATATACATCCATTCAAATGCTTACAGAGTGCCGTTTAAAAGCAGAGGTGATGAAACACAGTGGTAAACATGCCTCCGTCCCAACTTTTTTGGAACATGTTGCTGACATCAAATTTAAAATGGGCATATATTTTTCAAAAAGCAATAACCTTTCTCAGCTTTAGCATTTGATCTGTTGTCTTTGTCAGTGGTGGACAGTAACTAAGTAAATGGAATTCGTTACTGTACCTAAGTAGTTTTTTTCGTATCTGTACTTTACTTCAGTATTTCCATTTTGGGTGACTTTTTACTTTCACTCCACTACATTTCAAAGTCAAATGTCTTACTTTTTACTCCACTACATTATGCAAAATCTGCCGTCCTGACCTACACATGCAATATAGTAAAGGAAAACTCATTTGTGAACCTGTGTTTAAAGCCAGTTTTATTAAATTTAAACTTGTTTAAATTTAAAGTAAGTTTTATTTAAATTACGTTGCAAATAAATCTTAAACTGAAACTTTGCTTGTTTGTAAAAAGTTATTTCAGAGCCACTCAGTTCTACCTAATGGAAATCATTTGCCTTCAGTGTTTTGTGCTTATGATAATTTTAATAGACATCAGCGTCACTAATTAATGACACTCTATTAAAAGACTGGTTTACCAAGAGTGACACTGGAGTATTTTCACCTAAAATGAGTTGATAAAGCAAGAGTCTTGTTCCAAAACTGATAATAGGACCTTAGAGCCATAATTAATCTTTCAGTATTTTTACTTTTTGATACTTAAGTACATTTGAAGGCAAATACTTTTGCGTTTTTACTCAAGTGGAGGTCTAAAGGGAGGAACTTCTACTTTTACTGCAGTAGTATTTTACCTTGGGTATCTCTACTTTAGCTCAAGTACATGGTTTGTGTACTTCGTCCTCCACTGGTCTTTGTACTATTTTATATTAAATATGGGGTTTAAGTGATTTGCACATCGTTGCATTCTGCTTTTGTGTACATTTTGCACAGCGTCCCACATTTTGCTGGACACTGGCCATCCAGGACCAGAGTTTTGCACCCCTGTTCTACTACTTTTGTAAGAGTAGTGATGGAGCTCCATCAGACTGCAGATGAGCGTAAAAAGCAGACCAGCTAATAGAGCACAGATACTGAAAACTTCCCACTTAGTTTATCACTGCGGTACTGGACAGGTTTACGTAGTTAATCCTTATTTATTTGAAAGTAAATCGCCTCATTGAGCTCATCTCTCTCCCCTAGAATAGCAACGATAATCATTGTTGCATTGAAGCACTTCCCTTCTTCACAGATAGGTGGTGCTAGGAACTTGGGTTGGTGTTTTTCCACAAACACGTACAGAGAGTCACTCCCACAGAATGAACAGATCAGCGGAGAAACGAAAGTAAAGTCTCTCTTTCTCTGCTCGCTCTGTTCGTCTCTGTGTGCAGTCAAATGGCAGAAGCCGCTCTAAAAACTCTGGACTGTCTAAACTGTCCGATCTGTCTGGATCTACTGAAGGATCCAGTGGCTATTCCCTGTGGACACAGCTTCTGTCTGGACTGTATTAAGGACTGCTGGGCTCAGGGTGATCAGAGGGGGGGCTACAGCTGCCCCCAGTGCAGACACAGCTTCACTCCAAGGCCTGTTCTCAACAAGAACACCATGCTGGCTGAACTAGCTGAGGGTCTGAGGAAGACGAGGCTCCAAGCTGTTCCTCCTGCTGGATCTCCTGCTGGATCTGGAGATGTGGAGTGTGACGTCTGCACTGGAACAAAACTCAAAGCTGTTAAGTCCTGTCTGGCGTGTCTGGCTTCTTACTGTGAAGCTCATATTCAGCCTCACTATGAATCTCCTGCGTTTAGGAAGCACAAACTGGTTGAAGCCTCCATGAATCTGCAGGAGAAGATCTGCTCTCTTCATGATAAGCTTCTAGAGGTTTTCTGTCGCACTGATCAGCAGTGTATTTGTTATTTGTGTGTAATGGATGAACACAGTGGTCATAAGACAGTTTCAGCTGCAGCAGAAAGATCTGAGAAGCGGGTAAGAATTTACTGAAAGTCCTGCTATAACCGGTTTGTTAACATACAAAGCAGCACATTGAATGATTTAATAGTTATTCAAGCCAAAAAGAAAGAAAAAACAATACTGAACCTAAACTTTAGTCATATAAATGTTGTGTCTTGCGCTGCCACACTGATTAAAAGTCCATTTATGTAGTAAAGGCTCAGTATGTGTAAAGGACAAGCACAGTGGATAGAAATCTCTGAAAAAGATTCCTATGAAATCCCTATTTACAGATGTGTTTTTTCAAGTGGTTGTAAGAAGCCCAGTTCATAAATCAGCATGTGAATATAAAATTTGTTGTATTCTGTCTACAGAAGCAGCTGGTGGAGAATCAGAGGAAATTCCACCAGAGAATCCAGCAGACGGAGAATAAACTGCAGGAGCTGAGACAGGCTATGGAGAATCTCAGGGTGAGTATACTGACCAGAGGAGAAGACACCAGCTGGCTGTTAAAGGAGCCAATATCTGGATCCTGTGCAGAGCCAGTCTTCAGGTCTGTGGAGCCATAGGTGGAGTCAAATCTGCAACCGTATGATAACCCGCATGCCAACCTAACTTCACGAGAGGTTAGCAAGCTAGAAAGCACCAAGCTAGCAGACTGTAACACTAAATTAACTGCAAATCTCACATCTAAATGCTTAACATCAGGTCACAGTAACTTCATAGTTCATATTAAAAAGTTCATTTACATCAAAACAATGAAGTACGCAAAATGATTGGTGTTGGATATTTAGTTAACTAAGTAAAGCTAATATTGCATATATTGCTAAGTCCAAGAAAACATTAGCTACCATCAATAAAACTAAATAAAACTAGCTACGAGTAGCAGTATTCACAACATAAAGAAAAGAATGCCACACTGAATATAGACCACCATCAACCCCACTGAGCCCCACTGTGGAGAAGTAAGTGAAAGAGCTGCTTCAGATGAAGCCCCTCCTCTCTGTGTGTCTCCTAACAGTGCTCTGCACAGGCAGCAGTGGAGGTCAGTGAGAAGATCTTTACTGAACTGATTGAGTCCATTGAGAGACGACGCTCTGAGGTGAAAGAGCTGATCAGAGCTCAGGAGAAGACTGAACTGAGTCAGGCTGAAGAGCTC